TATGTTCCAATTTTTGCTCCTTTGCTTGTAACTCCTCTAACGGTTTCACGCATGGATTTCGGCCGGTATTTGCTTTGAACATAGCACGATACTCATCGGGAGTCATAGTCATATTATGCATCCTCGACAAATGGTGCCTAAACCTAAAACAATTTTAATGATCATATATTATATCTTATATGTGTATACACATTTTAATTTACACTTCACGCTTTGCGCAACCATAATCACACATCGAACATCTATATGGCATTCCGGTGTGTTTGTAAGAGTGGATTTTCAATTGTTTTACGTTATTAAACTCTTTTCCACACTCTGCGCATTTTCGTTTGATGCCAGCGTGTTGCTGCAGATGATAATTGAGCTGTACTTTTATTTTGAACCGTCGGTCACACAAATGGCATTCGAATGGTTCTTCTCCAGTGTGAGAACGCATGTGCACTTTAAGATCACTTGAGCGTATGAATTTTTTTGTACATATATTGCATGGAAATTTACGCTCAAAATGCAATAGCTTATGGTGTTGGAGCAGAGTAGAACTTTTAAACCCATCATCGCAAATATCGCAGACAAATTTACGCTCTGATGTATGAACATTTTGAATGTGCTGCTTGAAATAGTCTCTATCAAATTTCTTGTGGCATATCGGACATTCCTTTGATTTGGGTTTCTTTGACAAATGAACCCGCTTTTCATGTAAATTAACAGAAGTTTCCGAATTGAATTCACGGGCTGACAAAAAAATGAACAGAAAATTTGTTTTTATTAAATATTTGCCCATCGGCTAATTAATATGTATGGATCGTTTATCAGTAAAGGCGTGGATTTCTATTATAATATGGTCCCCCCCCCCCCCCCCCCCCCGCAGCCGATAGGAAACTCGGACCATGTACATAAATTGTATTAACTTAAAAGCATGTGATCAATTGAGTTTTGCATGTAGGATTTGTTTTACGATAAAAACATAACAAGGTAAAACCATCGAGAAGCAGTCCGTTTTCAAGCATAGTTTTAAAATTCAAAACTCAAACTCACACACACATTCTAATTTTAAATCTCGAAACAACAATTGTGAAAAAATTTTGCCTAAGATACGAACATATTGTCGATTTGCACCCATCGGACTACCGGATGAAACGTATTTCTTATAAAACTTCATGTGAAAAGAAAACTTTTGAACATGGGTTGCCTAAAAAATGTCGGTCCAGGCTATGACTAAGTTAGGATGCAATAATTGCACCCATCTGATTGCCAAAAGAAATAGACACCAATCGAAAGGATACACAGTGCTTCCCCTTCCATATAAAATGTGGGCAAAAATCGAATTATGGACGAATTTAAATGAAAATTCGCTTATCAGTAAAATAGAGGACGCTAAATTCATAACTTTGGACCACGGTAACCGATTTCTATAATTCTATATATAATTTTTTAAAGGAAAGGTGATACCTCCGAGGTGATCCCATACTAATTTGGGTTAGATTCGGTCATTGGATCATGAAGAAATTAACGGTACCATTAATTTTTTTTTATGATACATAATTGAAGTCGGTTTTGTTTTTTTGCTTAAAAACTACATGTTTATTTTACTATTTTTAGTAATAGGTAAACTCGTTTCATTGATCAATATGTTCCAATTTTTGCTCCTTTGCTTGTAACTCCTCTAACGGTTTCACGCATGGATTTCGGCCGGTATTTGCTTTGAACATAGCACGATACTCATCGGGAGTCATAGTCATATTATGCATCCTCGACAAATGGTGCCTAAACCTAAAACAATTTTAATGATCATATATTATATCTTATATGTGTATACACATTTTAATTTACACTTCACGCTTT